TACACAGGGAGTTTCTTATAGCACATATATATATATATATATATATATTATATATTATATATATTATATATATATATAATATATATATATCTATATAAATATATATATATATATATATATATATATATAAATATATATATATATATATATATATATATAATATATATATATATATATATATTATAGCCCAATTTGGTTCATCTCTATTCTTTTTTCTACCTTAGTCCTTTTCTTATGGAAGCTTGTCTACTTTGCGGGTATAAGTAAACTACTCCAGCCTGATTTTGGAGCCCATTTACTTGGTATATCATTTTCTTTCTCTTCACTTTAAATCTGTGCATGTCTTTTTCATAGAGTTGTGTTTCTTGCATATGATAGTTGGTTCTCATTTTTTAAAAATGTCTAATCTATATCTTTTATTAGAGTTAAGTTCATTTATATTTAGGATTAGTATGAAGAGATATGTGTAATTCCTGTACCTTTGTTGGGTTTTTTCTTAGTTGATTTGAGTACTCTTTGTTCTTTTCTTTCTCTCCTGTTCATTTTAGAGGCTCCTTGGTGTGCTGAGTTGAACAAGTTTATTTCCTACTTCTTACTTGTTTATTCTTTTTTTTTATTATTCATATGTGCATACAAGGCTTGGTTCATTTCTCCCCCTGCCCCCACCCCCTCCCTTACCACCCACTCCGCCCTCTCCCCCCACCCCCTCAATACCCAGCAGAAACTATTTTGCCCTTATTTCTAATTTTGTTGTAGAGTTACTTGTTTATTCTTCTTCTGAAAGCTATTCTTTCCTTAGCTCATGACTGTCATTGTCTGCTTTATGTGTGTGTAAGATTCCTTAAAATATCTACTGAAATGGTGACTTGATGAATTGCTTTTGTTTGTGCTTATCATGGAAGGTCTTTATTTCTCCACTAATTTTAGAGCTAGCTTTGCCTGAATATAGTATCCTTGGTTGGCACTTATTTACTTTCAGGGCTTAAAATCCATTAATCCATGCTTTCCTGGATTTTAAGTTTTTTGTTGAGAGGTCTGATGCAACTCTGATGAGTTTGCCTTTGTAATAACTTGGCACTCTTACAGCTTTTAATTTTTTTTTATTCTGTACTGTCATTTTAACTATAATGTGATAGGAAAAGATTCTTTTCTTGTCATCTCTATTTGGAATTCTAAATGCTTCTTATGTTTAGATACCAATTTGCTACCCTAAATTTGGAGGATATTTCTGCTATAATTTCATTGAATAGTTTTTCTATACCTTTAGTCTGTATCTCCATTCCTTCTTCTACCCCATGGATTATTAGGTTTGGTTTCTTGATTATGTCCCAGAATTCTTGAAAATTTTGGTCATGATTGCTCCTCCACTGCTTATTACTCTCAGTGTAATAATTCTTCAACCTTTTCTTCAGTCCCTGATATTTTTTTATTCTGGTTGATCCACTTTCAGTGCTTTCCACTGAGTCTTTAAATTTGATATATTGAGCTTTTCATTTCCAAAATTTCTGGTTTTTTCACATTCTCTGTCTCTGCTAAATTTATCATCCAGGTTATTGAGTTTCTCATCCAAATGTTGGATTGACTTCCACACTTCATTTACTAACTTGAATCCTCTTTGAGGTCATTGATATTTTTTAAAACTATACTTCTGAATTCTTTGTCCAGCGTTTCAACCATTTCAGTATTATTGAATTCAGTTAGTGAGGAATTACAAACTTTGGGGGGAGTCATATTTTCTTGCTTCTTCAAAGTTTTTTGTGTTTCTATATTGTGATTTGCACATCTTTTGGGATGGATACCCGTTATGTTTATATGTGGGGTTCCTGTTAGTGGACACTCTTCTCTTTGAGTCACAGTCCCCACTCCCACTCAGAGAAGCGAACAGACTGCAGTAATAACAGCAAAATTCACAAATGAGATATTTAAGTGTAGTTACAAAACAACTGGAAACATTGATTAAACCCACATAAAGATAGAAAAGAAAGGTAGTTTGATATTTACAGTATAATCTAGCAGTTTAAAAAGTATTAGCAATTGAATAATAAAAATAAGGGGCACAGGGAAAGGAAAAAAGAGACATGAAGCAAGATAAGAAACAGAAGGAAAGTATATAACATGAGTGTATAAGTACTAATAGGGAAAATACAATAAAACTAATATAGGGCAAGGCAAAACAACTTTTAAAAAGTCAGTGTTTCTTACTTTCTGAGTAGGTACATTACATAGATGCATTGTTCCCCGCACCCTTTGGGTAGTTGTTTTGTAGTTAACTTGGTATGGGGAACAGGAGTATATTGAATCCTTTTCTCTCTGAAGTCCAAACATGGTAGACTAGGAAGAGCTGCTTGCAGACTGAACCCTGCCCTTCCTTTCCTGCAAATGTGCTGGCTACAATGACCTGTGCTGTATCCAGACCTGGAAACACAGCAAGTATAGGAGCTTTCCTCAAGCTGCTCTTGCTAGCTGAGCTTCAGGCTATCTGATCAGATGTCCCCTTGCACCAGAGGTGGTCTGCCAATATTCACATGGGCATAATAAATGTCCAAGCAGGTTGTATTTCCATCAGGGGTCTCTGGGGCTCTGAGAGTATAGAAGACTCAGCTCAAAGTAATCTGCACTAGTGAGTGAGAGACACAGGTAGTGAGTGATCCTGTATGCACTGGCCCCACAATTCTCTGTCCCAGCCTGCACATTCATTCATACACAACTAGTCCCCCCTCCTCTGCCCAAAGATTGGACCGCAGTTCCAAGTTGTAAGTGTCTTCCTTTTTTCTCTGCAGAGCGACTCACACTTCCTCTATTGTAAATCTGAGTCTAAGTCACAACCAGTTCCCTGGGTTTACACTGATTCTCAGGTGGTTGTTTGCTAGCCTTTTGGGCTTGGAGATATAAAAATGCAGGCTTCTGCTTTCTCTGACCAAGAAACAGGTTTAACTGTTTGAACTCTCTTAAGATGATTGTTCACTGTGGCACATCGAGCAAGCTAGAAAATGCAAGGAGCTCCACTCCATCGTCTGCTTGCTACATAGATGACAGATCTCAAACTGCGTTTTTGCACAGCTTGCTAAGGCTTTCCTTTTCTCTTTTACTTAAAGACCGGCTGAGGGGAATTCTTCCTCTTCCGTACTGTTTTGCTTATTGCCTGATGTTACATTTCATTGTTCCTTTTACAGATCTAAAGTTCAATATTTCTGGATTTCACCTAGTTTCTGTTTATTGTTTCCCTCCCTTGCCTTTCCATACCACCTACCTCTCCTGCAGCCACATACCTGATGTTTTGTTTCAGACTCCTAGAGATGCATGAAAGTGCTAAATCCATCATGTTCCCCACCAAACTGAATGAATTTGTTACAACTAATCAGGACAGAATGTACAGAACACACAAGATGAGAAGATAAGACTATGAATGTAGAATAATGTATGCTGAATTTGAGTTGTTTGTGAGATATCCAAATGAGGATACCTGCTGGACATATAGGTCTACAGAGAGCCTGGGGCTCAACAGAAACTTAGAATTAAGATAAGGACATAATATCCACTTATATTTAAAATTAGATTATATTTTCCTAGATGTTATAAACCTTTGTCAACTGTGAAAATCTACATGATCCTACAGTCATAACTATTAGAGAGAAGAATTCTAAAGGTTGATTTTTCTCACATAGAACTATGCGAGAAAGTCTAGATAGTTCATTAAAGAGACCTGTTCTTGTTGTGCTGACATTGTTTTTAATGTCTTTCCATTTTGTGCCATTTTGTCCAGTTGAAAGGGAGAGTCCTGGACAATCTTTCAAAGAGGAGAGACTGGAAAATACCACTCTGTTGCAGCCTCCATTGTAGTTGTTTCCACACAGTGCTACTGTTGAAAATGCTAATCTCGTGATCAGTATAAGGCCACATGTCAGAGCCACAGGTTGGCCTTGAGACCCGGGAATGTAGCTGTCCATTCCATGAGACAGTGTCAGAAACAGGAAGGAGGTTAGGAAAGGCCTTTCCTGAAATGTAATCATTGGGTTGAGCAACAAGGAGCTCATGGTGGACCCAGGAAGAGGCTTCAATGGAATAATGCATGTGATGCCTGGTTGAATGTTGTGGGACATAGTCGTACAGACAAAGAGCAGACTCTGTTAGTCAGGCCTGGCTCTGAAGGGGAGGAAGGATCAAAAGGTTTATATTTGCTGAAGGAAATATTTTATTTTATTGATTTTTGGATGTTATCAAAGTTTAGTATCCTGCCATGTTTGCCCATTGCCAATGAAAGAATAAATTTAGTGATTTTTGAACTACTTTTTATTCTAAATAACTAGGCCTTATTGTGAGTGCATCTTCAGATTCCTTTTTGATATTAAATTTTGTTACATTATATCATCTCAGAAGTTTTAAAAAATGTGATGTGTTTGTGTGTGTTTACTTGTCTTAAAATACATCTTAGCTGTTGTCTAAATTTTAGCAGTAGATGAGAAATAGTTGATAATAGCTGAAATATAGAGCAATTGTTACATAGTTTAAATTAAATACCAATGGTTCTGTTTAACACACATCAGTTTTATGAAGTTATCTTGAAACTCATAGCTCTAAGACAGATTCATTTATATGAAACCATTTTAAACAAAGTTTATCAATGAACCAGTTAAATAAATGCCATTGTAATGAGTAGTGCAGTGACAAAAACTTGATTAATATAAAATACTTTTTAGTAAAATCTTAAAATTAGGAGATTTAATTGGGTTCAGATATTAAAAGCAGCAAACCTTCTGCTGGTGACTTGTTTATTTGAGCATTGGAGGTGTTCTGGGCAGTGTTGTCTCCCAGGGGCAAAGGCCTCTGTATGTGTTCCTTACACCCCTGTGGTTTTGTCTCTTCAGTTGTGCCTGGGCTGGAGCCCCTTCTTGAAGCAGGGTGCGTATGGTGGCCAAGATCTGAGTGAGTGAGGAATGGAGGCACAGAGCATGCTCTGCAACTTTACATTTTTCTGATACAGAGGCTTCCTTTATTCATAGGTGAGCGTCCATATCAATGTCCTTACTGTGAAAAAGGATTCAGTAAAAATGACGGACTGAAGATGCACATTCGTACTCACACCAGGGTAAGATTGTATTCTGTCTCATTAACACTGATCATAAAAATCATAGTTATTTAAAAAGAAATATATTCAACTTTACATGAGAAAATAAAAGTGATGTATCTGCAATGATATGTTTATATTTATGATTGTTATTCGAAGATAAGTTCTTTAAAAGGCAAATCAATAAAAAAAAATTCCAAACACCAAGAGGGTCCTGATTCTTGGAATTATAAACCAGTTTTAAGGAGTTATCAATGACACAGACTGCCAGATAAATAGATTTTAACATTTTATTATTAGGAAATCTAAAGATTTTTTCCTTAGAATATTTATCAGTAATAGGAATATTATTGAATAGAGGCAAGTCTGTCAGCATTTGACTACTAAGTAATACTTGTAAGCAAGTATATTTGCCAGAAAGATGTTGCAAATGATTGAAATTATTGAGAGAGCTTGGACTCACAAAAGTGTAGCTGGTGCATTGTGGGGCACACCTAGTGCTGTGTTTCTTTGTTTTTCTGAGGGTGCCCTTTCTTTCTCCACTGTCAACATCTCTCACTGGACTACTGTCATTTTGTTATATATGACTTTTCCAGACTGAAGCATCTGTGTCACACACTTTTAAAAACTGCAGCTCATCCACATCCAGATGCAGTACGTAGCTCTCTATTCAGTTTAGGGCAAAATTAGATACTCTGTATGGAATTTCCGCATGGATATTTTATGTTGTTTTAAATGCCTATTCTTGATTTTGCTCTATACATTTTTTCACTGCATCCTCTTTCACATAGTTTCTTTTTACTTTGGCTTTTTAAAAGTGCTTGTGGTCTGTATATAAAGGATATGTTCTTCCACATCTTAAGAAACATGTTCTATCTCTTTAAGACCAATGCTAATTTGCCCTTCTCTTGGATTTTGCTTTTTACCTTAGCTATGAAAGAAACACGTTAGAGAAAACACATAATAATAATAATAATATCTTTCTCAAGATAATAATAGTGTGGCCTTCCACTTTAGTTCAGAGTGCACTAAAGAACCCTCTGAGGTCCTGTCAAGAAAATGATCTTTTTGTCCTTGCAATAGGGAAGAGAGGAAACTTTGCACTCGTTGAAGCAAGTCCACAGCAGAGCTCTTGTCTGCTTTATAATAGTATGCGTATCATATGAATACTAGAAATTGGAGCATTTACTGAATAAACTGTTACAGTTTTAAATTGCTGTTTATGATAGTGTACTGTAAATGTGCAGTATTTCACAGTGAGCATTATAATAGAGGTATAAGTTTTAAATTAGTTCACAAAGTTATATGTGAGTAGTTGTCACAAAAATGTCAGCAATGTATTTATTTAAAAGATGCCAACATATAAGCAAAGGAGTCCTTGTTCTCCTTTACAGAAACTAGTATTGTTAACCAAAATATGTTTCACCTTATTATGAAGACAGACCTGATTGTACGACAGGAAAGGCTGTTTAAATCACTGCAGGGGGAAAAAAAAAGTTTGGGTTTTCTTAAGAAAATGTGTTTTTTCCAATTTGCTTAATTTGGTCTTTGCCTTAATACAAAGTTATTAAGGAGAATAATACAAATAGTTAAGTATAAAGAAACACAAAGAGCAATAATTACATGCCAGATAATACATCTTGATAATAATTTCAAGGCCTTCAAACTTAATTTATAATTCATTTAAGCCTCATAAAAACCCAGTGTGGTAGCTATTATTGTGATCTTTTTTGAAAAAAATGAGAAGCTAAGGCACAAATAAGTAACAGCGTTAGTCTTGCTGCAGAAACTTCTTCCTTACCTGCTGAGTTAGTCAGTGTTTTCTGTGGTAAAGTACCAAAGGGAAGCAATTTAAGGAAGGAGACTTTTTTATTTTATTTTATTTTGTTGTTGTTCATTTATTCACATATGCATACATTGTTTGGGTCATTTCTCCACTCTGCCCCATCCCCCACACATCCCCTCTTCCCCCCTCAGATCCAGGCAGGTCCCGTTCTGCCCTTATCACTGATTTTGTTGAAGAAAAGACATAAGCATAATAAGGAAGACAAAGCATTTTTGCTAGTTGAGTTAAGGATAGCTATACAGAGAGATTCCTACTATTGCTTTAGTTTACCCATGTGTTACGACCTATGTTGATTCAACTCTAACTGATGTTCACGTTGGTTCCTGGTCCCCTGCTCATAATAACCTGTCATTTTAAGTTTTCTGTATTAGTTCTTCTGGAATGGGGACATCAAACGCTTTCATGTTTTGGGTTTTCTACCTATTCCTATATCTCCCGTTTGTGCTCTCCCCTTTTCTTGTGATCCAAGTCCAACAATATTGCTGCATTTGCCCTAGATCTAAAGTCCGCATATGAAGGAGAACATACGATTTTTGGTCTTCTGAGCCTGACTGTCCTCACTCAGAATGATGTTCTCCAGTTCCATCCGTTTACCTGCAAATGATAAGATTTCATTTTTCTTCATGGCTGAGTAAAATTCCATTGTGTACAAGTACCACATTTTCTTGATCCATTCATCTGTAGTGAGGCATCTTGGTTGTTTCCATAACTTGGCTATTGTGAATAGCACTGCAATAAACATTGGTGTGCAGGTGCCTCTGGAGTAACCTGTGTTGCTTTCCTTTGGGTATATCCCCAGGAGTGGGATTGCTGGATCATATGGCAGGTCTATGCTTAGATTTTTAAGAAGTCAGGAAGGAGACTAATTTTGGCTCATTTTGTCAGAAATTTCAGTTCATCGTTAGCTGGTTCCATTGCTTTTAGTCCTGTGGCAGGGCAGGAACATCATGGTGAAAGGGCGTGACAAGAAAATTCACCTCATAGTATGGCAGCTAGGAAGCAGAGATACAGAGAGGAAGGGTCTGGATCCAAGATAGACACTACAAAGTCACACCCACAGTGACCTACTTCCTGCAGTTATGCCCTATCCCCTAATGTCCCATTCAGCCATGAACTCATCAATGGATTAATCCATCCATGAGGTTAGTGCCCTCATGATCCAATCACTTCAATATTGCCACAATGTGGAGGCCAAATCTTCAACACATGTCTTTTTAGGGAACATTTCTTATCTAAACCACTTTTACTGCACTTTTTTGTCTTTTATTCCACTAAATATTTTCTCATTCCACTGACTCGTGCTAGACTGTTACTGTCCAGGTTGTTCTAGTCTGTCTTTATCTTGTTTGTTTTTTGTTTTGAATCTCGGTTGTTTTTCTCTTTGTGTCTTTGTGAGTCTAACACCTGTTGACATATTTTCTGTTTCAGTGACTCTTTCCTCTCTTGTGCCTGGTTTGCTTACTTAAGGAGCCCAATTTTGATAGCGTGTTCTTCATTTCTAGCATTGCTGTTTGGAAAACAAATTTTTAATATTTAAAATTTTACATTTTTAATAAAGTAGCTTCATATTTCTGCTGAAATTTCCCATTTGTTCATGTATGTGGTTCAGCTTTTTCACAGATCCTCTGACATATTAATTGTAGTTATTTTAATTTCTCTAATGTTTTGCCTATGGATCATCTTTGGATCTCATTTATATTGACTTCTATTACTTGATCAAGGGTGGGGGTTGTTGGGAGTTTTTTTGTTTTGGGGTTTCTTTTTGTGTTACTGAGGGTTGAACTTGGCCTGCTAGGCAGGTGCTCTACTCGAGAGCCACTCTAGCCACTCCATTGGCTGCAATGGGGTCTTTTGAACATTTTGCCTGGCTCACCTTGAATCATGATACTCTTGATCTCTACCTTCCAAGTTGCTAGAATTAGAGGCTTGTGCCACCCCATGGCACAAGCTTCCATGGGAAGCTTTGCTTTTTATGTATCACGATATCTATTATTGTATATAAAATAATAGTAGAGAATGGGACAAATACTATTTATGCCTCTTCTTCTGGTAGGCCATTAATGTGAAGGGTAAGCAGTCTAGACAGTCGTTGAGGAGACTTGGGTCTTGATGTTGGCTGTGGTTACCACAGACTTTGAGCTCCTCCTGTAGTGGGCTGCAGTTACCATGTTCCTTGCCTGAGGCTGAGGGTAAGTGGTGTTTTCTCAAGTGTTCTTTTCACCATCATATTTTAGCAAGACCTTGCTGCTTGCCTTTGCCACAGAATGAGTCTCTCTCTTCCTCTTTCTGCCTTTGTCCCTCCACTAGCAATAGTCTGCTGGTGTTTGTGACTAATAGAAAACTTGGGTGCTCAGAGGGCTTTCTTGATGTCCTGCTCTAGTGTGAGAGTCAGGTAGGGGCTCTGCATCTGAGCTTTCATTGTGGCTTTCTCAGCATTCCTGCCTCTACCCTGGGGTTGAATGACCTTCACCACTGACTCCATTGAAGGTCTTGAGCTGCGGTGCTCTTGCCACTAGCTTCATGTGACTATTTAAAATTTAACTTTCATTAGCTGAAATTAAATAGCATCAAAAATTCACTTTTTAAGCCTCACTAGTCCATGTCATAGGTGATCAGTGGGCACATGTGGCTGGTGGGTATCAACTTGGACAGTATGGATTTCTTTCTTTTACCACAGAAAGTTCTATTGTGTATCACAGGCTTAAAGTGGGTAGGTTTTCTGGCCCTTCTCGGTGGCATCTGAGCTTCACTTTGTATCATTTAGGGTGATTTGGATCATAAGAGAAGATCCTGGTCTTCCTCCAGGATCAGCAGACATCCTCAAGTTCATGGGGACATGGGCAGAGCAGGTTCCTGCCTTCCTGGAGGTCAAGGCAGAGACACATTTTTGGCAGGACTCTGACCCTCCTCCTCAGAGGCAGAGAACTTTGCTGGCTTCTGCTGAGCTTTTCCCATCCCACCTCAGAAGATGGCATCTGCCTGCTGAAAGCAGGTAGACTTGGGACGTGCAGGTGTTCCCACCCCACCCAGAGGCTTTGTCTCCTGTGTGAGGAGGATCTGTGGCCTGGGCAGCTTGTGCAGTTCCCTGGAAAGTCTCATCTCTACTTGTACACATGCAGAGACAGAAAACAGAAGGGTTTCTTCTAGTTCTGTGTTCCACAAACAAGCTGGGCAT